AAAACAAAACAAACAAACAAAACACTACAAAGTCAACTCCTCTCACTGGCAGCTAAAATTCACTTGAAAAAGAAAATATCCACCCATCTCAAAAAGAAGAACTTTACTTAAAATTTTTCAATTTGGGAAAGGGTGAAAAAACAATAACTTTTGAAAAATACAAGCTCAATAATAAGTATATTTATGTAAATTTTTAAAAGTTATAGATGTGCATATTTAATCACTACCCTCTTGGAGTAAATTATTTTGTTAGAAGTAAAATTTTTTAAAATGCAAACTTGGTTCATCTTTCTTTGACAAAAGGATTAGGTAACAAGGAAAACTCCATGAGATCAATTTTTATTGACTTATTTCAAGATCTAAAGTGATAATCAACCAGATAGTATATACATCTCTCTTTTGTGTACTGAAACACTCTTAAATGATAATTTGAGGAAACTTTCATAATTGCTAAATGGACAGTTATTTAAACATTGTGTCTGCCTTCTTTTTCACCTGTGTTTTTCAAGTGTACAATGCATTTCTCTTTCAGACGTATAACAGTTTCTTAAAGGAAAACTCAGTAAGAGTAAGGCATTTCCTCAACTATACATAAATTTATTGAAATGAGATACATATATTCAACAGAAAGTGGTCTATCAAAGTTTAAAACCTCAGAGTATAACAGTTGTGTTTTAAAATCAGTTCTACCATAGATTCATAGGGAACTCTAAATACTAACTAAACTTTGAAAATATATATACTACTATTAAACGATGTGCCAAGAAGGTACCTCTAGGTTAGTTTTTAGTTTACTGGAACTTACTTCAATGAACAGACACAAATGTGACACCAGAAAGATAAAAATGTTAGCCCCTGAACCAAACTGAAGGATCAAGTCTAAGATCAAAACTGAGAAAATGAATGGCAAGTGATGAGGATGAGTGACTAGGAGAAAAAGTTCAAGAGACTACAGTCACCCAAATCTAATGGAGAAGGATGCAAAGGCAAGTGACCACACAATGGGACCCATCAAACTGCACTTTTACAAAAAGCCTGTACTTTAGCCACATAAAAACAAACTGTAGAACGACAATTTGGCAGTGCAGCTAGGGTCTGTCATAGATGAAGGACTTTGTGTGACAAATACAATTTCTTTCTCTAAAGTGCAAATGTATGCATGAGGCACCACACTCGGAGGCTATCGGCTATTAAGATTATTTGTAACTCCCCTTGTGGGACCTACAATCACAAAGACAAACACCCTACTATAATCTGGCTTTCCTATTATTAAATATGCAAGGAAGACAATGCTTTGGTTGGCAGATCCAAGTACTCTTGAAAAGTTCAGCTTTTACAGAAAAAGAATACAATTAACATTTTGGTTCAATCCTCAGCTTCTTGTGAGGTTGGTAGGAGACCGTTATCTCAGTTGCGCCATCCCTCTAAGTAGAGGGATGAATTTGGGCTTCCAGGCTTTAATGCCAAGTGGATCCTGGGACATGCCAACCACACTGAAGACCTGGCTCCCTGTCTATGGGCAGCCGGCCATCATTCTTTCTCCTAAATAGGCAAACCTGATCTTCAAACACACCTTTCTTCACACCGTTAACAGTCTTTCTGCATTCTGACTTTGAACTCCTTCAATTTTTATACTATATGAATAAAGTCAATGCTTAGGACGTATTTATCCAGGTTTGTCAGCACTTTTAAAGAGTTATGTCTTTGGACAGCAAAATGAGTACTTTTAGAAAAAGGATAATTTTTAGATTATTTTATAACAACTGTTTTGGTTATATACTTCACTATAGGATAGGAAATTAGGCTAGAGGATAATAATCTATAGTAATATCAAAATCTCCTGTAGGGAACTTAGCCAACACTAACTCATCCTCTACTGTGAGTCAGCCAGACCACAGAGGGTACCTGGACACCTTAGATGTACCACCTTTGGAGATAACCCCAGAGAGCAAAACCATCCACTCTAGAAGTGCTGGAATTACCGTTCTGGGGAAGTCACTACAACTGATGGGTCTACTTCCTTTCTCAAGTGTGCTAGGGTGAAAACAAGATTGAAAATGACTTGTCCTGAATGATGGCTTGACTTTACAAATGAATACTGTCGATGCTGTTAAAGAGAATTAGGCCCTGGCTTTAGATATTCAAAATTCAAATTTGTTCCAATTATTAGATGTAAGACTAAACAAAAAGCATTCATTAATAAAATGCAGAGAAATACAGGGACAAAAATCTTTGTATATTTTAGCACACAATACATTTATCTTCTTCCAAGGGAATGGCAACTTGTTTCTAATTTAAAGAAAGATCATGGAAAAAACTGTTTACAGTAGAACAATTTTCAATAATTCGTTGCTGAATGGTCTAATGAAATTACTTTAAATGTCAAATATGAAAGTGATGTAATAATTTTTTCTTTGCATTTCAACTCTAAGTTAACATTCTGATGAAAGAGGAATTCAACAAATCATAGCTGTGTTCTGGAGACAGTTTGCCCAACTTCTACTGAGTCCAGTTGAACACAATGATTTTTACAGATTCGCTGCACAAAAGGGCTTTTAATTTTTACAAAATATGTCACTGTAGCATTTTAATTGTCTACATACCTAATCTGCTGAACTAATACACCAGTAAGTTATGTGTGTATACACAGAGAGCTTCTAAATAATAAGAATACAAAACAAGGAAATTACATTCAGATAAAATAACCTATATGCTGTAGGGTTGCTAAGGAAGAATGACTCACTTTTGGACTTGGAGACATGTTAGCTGTAAGATAAAGATGATACAATCTCTAAATTTTTAGTTTTTATTTTATGTATTAGAGCTATTTTTATTTTTTGTATGTTAGGCTTCCCTTAATGCATGTCATTAGCACTCTATAAAGTTCTGCTTTCTTGATGAATGAGGAAGACTCCCTTTGGAGCTAAGGACTTCAAGGGTATAGAACATTTCAGATATTCATTAGCACTCTATAAAGTTCTGCTTTTTTGATGAATGAGGAAGACTCTCTTTGGAGCTAAGGGACTTCAAGGATATAGAACGTTTCAGATTCATTTACATGTTCAAGTCTCTCAAGAGAGCCACTCCCCAGTTCATTTCCTTGGCTTTAACATCTAGCACCCCTACTCAATTCCAGGTACTTATTTTAGCCTAGAGTTGTCAATTCTTTACTTACCTCAAAAAAATTTTTTTAAAGAAAATGTCATTTTCCACTTCTACAAATATTCTGTTTCCTATGATGTATATGAAAGTGTTCTCTCCATCTTGAATGGTGCCCTCCACCCTCTGCTGAATATTCAATTCTGTTTACTCCTTCCCATTCTCTACCTGGCTCTTTCTTACACTCATGTGACCTCTGTGTAACAAAATCTCTGTGTAACAAAAACAATTTTAACTCAACCTGACTGTCATTCTACTAGCCATATTCCATTCCCCCAACTTATATTATCATCTATTTTGTGCTACACTTTCTCAATACTTCAGTTATCTTCCCCCTCTCTCTCTTCTGGCACGATCTGTCTCTCAGCAGTACTGTGGCGAATGACAGCAGTAACTCCCCCCTATTGAATGCAGCTTTCCATCTCTTCAGTGTCTTGGCAACACCTTACATGCCTCAGTATGATGCCTCCTCCTGACAATTCTCCCTTCACAGCTTCCTGAGGATTGGCTTCTATTTCTTCCTCAATCTCTGTTGTCTCTCTCTTCCTTTGTTAACTTTCTCCTTCAATCCTAAATGTTGGTAGTATCAAGCTTTATATTCAATTTGATCTTTTTTCTCAACATGTAAAAGGTCTTGCTCATTCATTTATTTAAGGAATAGGGTTTACTTTGGCAGTAACCACAAATAGACTGTGATTGTGTCTAATACACACTGTGAACCACATGTGCTATGAAAGCTGGTGCGTGTGAATGTATTACTTTGCTGATGACAGAGCCTAGTCAAGTGCTTAGTATTCACATGGGACACGTGTGGCTTCTTTCTTATTTCTTATTATGGGACAAATGATATAAAACAGTGTTATCAATAATGTGGGACTCAAAAAGATCTCTATGTACCCCTTTAAGAATGTCACAGGTTTTCCAGAAATCTCTGTTAAGCCCTCAAATTCCTGTGCGTCAGCTACAAGTCTGCCTTGGCTTTTCTTGAAAACATATATAATTGAACATATTCAAATATGAGTTTATTGTGATTCAATCAAACCTGCTCTTTTTTCTGTAAGAGTAGTGCACCATGATAGATCTTCCTGACTCTGTGGCTCTGTTCAGCCACACACCTAACAAGTTACCAAAATTGGCCAATGCTTGCACTCAGCCATTTCTCGTATTGAACATTTCCTCTCATTTCAAAGGTAAAAGCCTAATTTAGGCCACTGGTGTTTTTTTTTTTTTTTTCCCTCTCTCCAGTGAATGTTCCATCTCCTAGTTTGGCTCTCTCTAGATTCCCATTTCAAGATAGCTGTCCCTCCACTGTTATTCTGACCCCATCTCTTGGATATATCTCTGTTCTCTCCCTTTCTTTTTGGTGGATTTAACACTTTGGCCTCCTCTGTTACGGTCATGTCATTCATCTATACCTGTGGGGTTGCTTCACATCTTTCATTACCTCTGTGAAGCCTATCTTCCCTGCTCCAGCAAGTTGCACTCAATTTTTTCTTCTGAACTGGCCGAGAATTGTAGGTATATCTCTGAATGATGCGGTTTTAGTCTTTGTATTTCAGTAGTTTGCATAGGTCTCTCTCTGTCTCTGTCACTCATGAATTTACTAAAAGCAGGACCTGAGGGAAAGGTTCTTGCCTTAGTAGAAATTACGGTGGTGGTCTAAGGCGGTGGAAGGCCAAAGCCTTCCTGCTTCTTTCTCAGCCTTCGCTGCAACTCCCCTTCCCGTTTGCGAGCCGAGCGAAGAAAACTCCAATCAGCTCCTCGCACCTCATCAATGCCTCCGGAAGCGCCACCCCCATCAGAGATTGTATGTACATTCCATGCGCCAGGTTCCAGACAGAGAAAGCCAGGCTGCCAGCAGTCACGGAGTTCTCTCTACGCCTTTAGGAATAAAGGCTATTTTTACTTTATGTTCTCTTTTATCACGCAGAAAACTCTTTCATAATGGTGCCCGTGTGCCTCGGATGGCAGAGTGAGTGGCTCCTGGGAATCCCTCCCAGTTTGAGCCCCCCTAAGAACCACCTTTTTCTTCCTCTGGGACTGTTTACTTGCTGCCGCTAACAGCTACCTTTCTCACTCCTAACAGGTGAGCCACCGTCAGTCCATTCTGTTCCTTAGCAAGCTTGCCACAGAAAACCCATTCTGCCGGTCCCAAACAGGGATGCCAGTTTTCGCTCTCCTGAGGGCGTACGGCTTAAGGCAGGACTGATATTTTTGTTCCCTGGGCCCCACACTCTTAGATGACCCCACTGAGAATGGGTGTTGGGACTTTCCGAGTCACACTGTCAAAATAGGTGACAATCTCTTTTTTTTTTTTTTTTTTTTGTCTTTTTCCTTTTTATTGGTACCAGGGATCAAACTCACGACTGCCTGCTTGCAAGGCAGGCGCTTATGCCGCTGAGCTAAATCCCCAGCCCCCGACAATCTCTTTTGTTAAGTGTGACTCAGGACTGCTTCCATGTCCCTTGGGAGACAGCTAAAGCTCTTATGTCCCGAGGCGAAGCTGTTCTCTCAGCTCACTTATTATTCTGTCATGGGGACCACTTCCTGTCCTCTGAAAAACACACCCCTCGGGTGCCTGGTTCATAACCTTGGTGCTCTAGGCCTCTAAAATGCTATAAAAAACCAAAAAGCTGATCTTTTATTTATGCTTTTGTCACAATGGTGGCAACTCTTCATCTTTAGGCCTTTTTCACTTTAAGGACGTGTCCTTCTCTCACTCTTTTTCTTTGATGGCTCGAACACTTCTGGCTCACTCTGCTCCTCTAGGATCTCTCCCTCCCTCCGCACTGGACCCCTTTAGAGGACATGTCTCCTGTCTTTAGAACTCCCCTGTATCTCTCATACCAAACCCCACAGCCTTCTCAGCCTGAGGTTTCTTTACTCCCTGTGCCGTCCTCTCGTCTCCATTCCTCAGCCACAGTGGCTTCTAGTCCTTCCCTGTGTCTCTCCCTAGTCTCCAACTTCTCATTCCCCCCAACCCAAGCTCTCTGAGGTTCCATCTGGGGGTTCTTTGTCCCCTTCCCCTCTGCCGTCATTTTCTCCATTGGCTCACCATATGTAGTGTTGGGTGTTCCAGTCTTCTGGCAGGCCACATGGCTGCCAGTAGCCATGTTGCTGCAGCTTGCATGGAGGACAGCTGCCATCTCGAGATGGGTCTAAAGGTCAATAACCGCCCCCTTGTGGCCCCTTGTGCGATTAGCAGCAGTTATCCAGCCACGGGTCACATTATGACCAGCCACCATCGTACGCCCCCCTCACTGTGTTACTGGCAGTAGCTAGGCTGCTGTGCATCACACAGTGACCCATCAACAGCTCTGCGTTTCCTTGCCATATGGTGATGAGTGGCCGTTTTATAGCCAATCATCAGGTAATTGCCCACACATGCCTGCTGGATGTTTGGCTGGTCCGTGGCCACAGACTTGTCAGCCTTATTCTCTATTCCTGCTTTGGGAACAGGCTGGCCCCATTCCTGAGGGATTAGCTAATATTTATGTTCCTTTTTTCCTTCGTAAGCTATCTCAGATTAGCCATAAATTAGGTCCCTTTTCTAGTATTCTTATTTCAAGAGATCTCTACAAAAAGGTTCACACTAGTCTGTTTATTATAGTTCAAATTGGCCAAATATATTTGAGTGTACTTTGATTTTACAAGATGATTGTCAGTATATATCTGACGTTTGCCTGCTCTATAAGCAGCTGTATCTTTTATTTGAGCTCAACAATTTTTCCTCCTCTTTTACATTTTTAGATCATTTAATCAAGGTTTATGGGGCTGGGGATTTAGCTCAGCGGCATAAGGGTCTGCCTTGCAAGCACGCAGTCGTGAATTCGATCCCTGGTACCGATAAAAACGAAAAAGACAAAAAAAAAAAAAAATCAAGGTTTATTTGAGTTATAGATTTAAAAAAACATGCTTCCACCTAGGTTGCCAGCTGGTCAAAATGATGCTAAAATTGGTTAAACAAAATCCCTTGGAGTGAGGAGACATTGGACAGGACTTCAATTGATAAATAAGTAAGTGACCACCTGGTAACTTTAACCAGCTCTTGTTCATTAATTGGAGGCCCCAATAATCACCACAGTCTTATGGGAGACACCTCAACTAAAGTTCATATAACTAACACAATGCATTATTGCTGATCTGATGGTGTATTCATGCCTTCAAATATAAAATTGCGATTGTTTATGATGACAAGTGTTTTCTTTCAGATCCAGACATCTGCCTTTTTCTTGTGTTCGGCCAGGAGATTCAGGTCAGACCAACACGAGGTCACCAGTCAAATGATAATTTTTAAACAAAAATTTATATAATATATATGTTATGCTTAGAGATGCTTAAATAGTCAGCAGTCCAAACAGTGTCACAAATTTCAATGTCACAAATGTTAAACCATCAATGGTTAATAGAAAATAATAGTTCCATTTAATGTTCTATGTTAAGCTTATTGCCTCTACTGCTCTGTACTATTAACAATCTTCTGGATGTTCAACAAATAAAATTAAGATAATTATAAATTCCTTTTGGATTCTTGTTGCTGGGATCCACCAAATCTTTTCCAAAAAAAAGGTTATATGATGCATACTGGGGCCATAATTAACTATACTCAATTGGTGTTAAATGATACCACAGCTGATCTCTCTCCTAAATAAAAGGATAAAATTAATATAACAGGCCATGCTCCAAAAATCAGATGGCATTGGACATCCTAACAGCACAAGAGATACTTATACAATTATAAAACCTAAATGTATGTAATTACAAATGACATGTCAATTTCTAAAATTCTTTGGATCTTATCCTTATCTTCCTTATGGGAAGCTATTACTAAAGTTTTAATCATAAATACCCTGTTGATTCTATTATTTGACTCCTGCACACTTTGTCTCCTTTGGACTTAAAGCTGAACATCTACCCAAGATAAAAACCAGATGTCTTGTGATTATGGAGGAGACAGATACGTTCCACTGTGGGCCAGATCCCAAGACAAAAGGCTAAACTTGACCCTCAAACCCCACAGGGAAACCTTCTTAATATCACTTTTCATGTTTTGAACAACAGAGATAAAAATCAAAAGGGAAAATAACAATTTGATCTTTTAGCAGTGACACTTGGAGCTCTGAGACAGGTAAATCGACACAAGATGGAGAGCTGCCTGAGCCCCTCCTGGACCATGCTTCAAGTACAAGAACGAACATTGGGAAAGACAGTGTCTCAAACCCAGCATTCTTCTGGGCCTTGCCCCTATTGCAATCTCAAGGGCCACTGGAAGAGCGACTGTCCTAGCCACCAGAGAGTGGGTAAGCCATCCTCTAACTCCCTGCCCTCATAGGAGATCTTATCATCACCAGATTCATCACTGATTGATCTACTTGGACTTGCTGCTGAAGACTGATGGGGCTCAGAGTCCACAGTCCTCCATTAAGAAATTCTTCTCAGAGCTCCAAGTCCCACTGGAGGTCTCAGATAAGACATTCTCTATACTTGAGGACACAGAGGCCATATATAGTGTTCTTCCTGAGTTTTCAGGCCGCTATATTAAGTTCACTCTGTAGTGGGTGCTGACAGCCAACGTATATAGCCTTTACAGACAGGGACTATTCTATGCAGGTTCCAGACTCCCTTCTTTGGTCAACCCCATAGTTTGAGATACCTCCAATCCCACCTATGCTACCCATGCCATGCCTATTTTAACTCATCTCAGGGATCCTTTGATTTTTTCTTGCATTTTCCAATATCCCACAGCTCCCAAACATTTGTTACAGGGACTTAAACCTGTAATTAAGTGCCTTTTAAACAATGGTTTTCTCAAACCTACCCATTCACCCTGTAATACTCCCATTCTCTCAGTACTCAAGCCTGATGGGTCTTATCATCTAGCAGGACCTTGGGGTAATCAGTAATGCCATTACTCCAATCCACCCAGTGGTGCCAAACCCTTATACATACCGTGCTCTCTCATTTCCCTCCCTCCACCACTCACTTTGCAGTCATATATCTTAAAAATGCCTTTTCAATTACTTTGTGTTTATGCACACTGACCCAGACACTCTGAGGTCTCAACAACTTACACCTGTCATCTCTATAGTAAAACCTTTCCTCAGGGACACATAGTACCAACCTCCTTCCTTTCCTATTCATCAATTTTGTGGACACAACCCTGGTTAGGACTGGCAGGTAGATTTTACACACATGCTCTGCCACAAATCTCTCAAATATTTTCTCACCTTTGTTTGTACTTTTTCATGATAAATAAAAGCCTTTCCCACAACTAGGGAGACTGTTGATATACTTACTAACATCCTGTTACAGAAAATCATCCCAAGGATTACAACCAAGGTGGAGCAGCCCCTACCTGGTCTTCTTGGCAATCCCAATAGCGGTTAAGTTGCTAGACGGCCATCCTGGTTCCACATCACTCAAGCTAAGTGGTGCCCTCCCAACCTTCTCATCTTCTATCTCCCACCTGTCTCCGTCTCACCAAGGCCTCACAGCTACAACAATCAGGCTAAGTCATGTTTTGTTATCCAATTTGGTTCCTAATCCCTTATGTTAATTAATTATTTTTTACCGCAGGACTCTTGACGGTCTTTCCTAAAGACTCCTACGTCATGTGTAAAATCATGTTGTTCATGTTGTTGTGTGTAACAACTGTCTTAGTTCTCTACCCTTAGCTGTTTAGTTAAACGTGAGATAACTGTGTGCCTAGGCGCTTATCACGCTTATAGTGACCCAGCCATGGCCCTCCCCACCCGTTATTCTTTCCAGCTCAACTCCTAGACCAGAGACAAGCCTACCTACCTACATTTTTAACTGTTACCCCTTCAGATAAAAAAATAATCACCTCTCATAATTTTACTCCTCTTAACCTCACACTTATTTTCAGAATTCTACCTCACTGTGGTCCTGATGGAAAAACATATTTATATCAAAGACACCTTTCCTTCTACCTCCCCTGGGTCCTTAAATATGATAGTGGCCTGCCTCCTCATAGCACCTTGTCTCTTTGTTTTTTCCAGTCTAAGATGTGGGCATTCACCAATCATGAAGTTGCCCTGGCTAAAACACCTGGCACCAGCTTCTACATGGGCATCAACCATTGTCCCATCAACCTTTCTAAACCACAATACAGGAAGAGTGTCCCAACCCCAGTGTTCTTCTGGGCCTTGCCCCTATTGCAATCTCAAGGGCCATTGGAAGAGCGACTGTCTTAGCTGCCAGAGAGCGGGTAAGCCATCCTCTAACTCCCTGCCCTCATAGGAGATCTCATCACCACAGGATTCATTGCTGATTGATCTACTCAGACTTGCTGCTGAAGACTGCTTATACCAATCTTGCTTCAACAGGAAGTAATAAGCAAGAGACTTCACCCTTTTCCTAACAATACCAAGATGGGAATGAAAGGTTCTTGCCTTAGTAGAAATTATGGCAGTGATCTAATGTGGCAGTAGGAATGCCTACCACTTCCTGCTTCTTCTTCAGCCTTAATTGCACTCCCCTTCCTGTTGGTGCATGAAGAAAACTCCAATCAGCTCCTCGTGCCTCATCAATGCCCACCCTAAGCACCACCCCTGGTCAGAGGTTGTATGTATATTCCATGCCCCATCTTACAGCCTGAGAAAGCCAGGCCACCAGCAGTCATGGAGTTCTCTCCACATCCTTGGAATAAAGGCTATCTTTACTTTATATTCTCTCTTTTATCATGCTGAAAGCTCTTTCACTGAGCAGTCCACATTTTGACTTCCCACAGTGGACACTGCTTACACCAAGTGCCTTGCATTTAGGAGGTGTGCAGTCAACCTCTGCTCAATGAAAAGTTACAAAAGGCACTATCTCAACAACTTGACCTCTTATACATCCTGCCTTTCAATGTAGAAATATTAATTCTGGGAAGGAGATCCACACTGTAGCTGAACTTGTTTAACACCTTTGGGTCCATCTGAAAAACACTTTCAATTCATGTAATCCCATTACCCATATTTTAGACTAGATTCCAGGGAAAACGTAATAGTCCAGGACAAACTTCATCTCTTTAAAAGAGATACCACAGAAACAAGTTTTATTTCTTGGGACATATCTTTTCTTTTTCTTTTTTTTTTTGAAGACAAGGTTTCACTGTGTGGTCCAGGCTGGTCTTAACTCACTATGTAGTCCAGGCTGGCCTCGAACTGATGGCAGTCTTCCTGTCTCATCCTCCCTGGATTATAGCACATGCACTGTGTTCAGCTGGGATGTGTCTTTGTCTCCACCCTTGCACATATACAAATTACCATTTGGAAGAATGAGAAAGGAGAGAATTATCAAGTCTCCATTTAATTTTCCATCCACCAAATGGGAAAGTTTCATCATTTTGTTCTAAGCTCAATACTTACTAAATGGCAATAAAGTTCCCAAAAGTGTTTCACTTTTACAAACAGAAAATATCTCAGATCCGGAAGCATCTACCATAAGATAAAAAGCATTAATCATATAAATAGAATATTTTCTCTATATTCAATAATAAGTGTATAAGAGAAAATGGACAAAATTTTCAAAATTAGCTAACAGTGACATTCTCAAATTGGCTATAAATGTCACCATTTTGTTGAGAGAATGGTGACAAATTTACTTATAACAGAAATTCTCTTCTTTCTTTAAACACTGGAACTATACCTAGAAAAAGATGTTTTTAAAGTTTCTAAGAAACAATGCAGATAGAGAACCCTCCCCTCAATACTGCTACCATTGAGGTGAGCAGCTTGGGAAGACTCAGAGACCAGAAGGAACACCAATGACGTGGTAGGATCCTAACAAAGGTACACAAGATGGACAGGTGAGACTAATGGTTTGAAAAACCTGAAGTAATAACAGTACAGATCAATAGGTGGCTGAGGCCTCTACGGGACCAGCAACCAGCTTGGCAACTAAGACTCAATAACTAGCCCCTTTCTCTCAAAATTTTTGTCTTATTTTTCTTTTCTTTTTTTTCTTCATTTTCCTTTTTTATTTCTATTTTTGTTCTTGTTTCTTTTCTCAAGGGCTGAGGAGAACTCCAACTACAGAAAACTAATCCCATCCCCCAACAGAAAAACCCAACTCAGATAATTCCTCAAACATATTTTCATTCTTTCTTTTCTAGTCTCTTCTCTAGTTTCCCAAACCTTGCATGATCATCCTTTTTCTGCTAGCCTTACTTATACTTTCTTGCCAATTATCTTTGTTTTATACACTATCCTCCCTAAATTTCACCACAGGGTAAAACCACTCTGCCAAGGGAAAACACTTTGCATACAAATTCCTGATTTACAATCAGTTTTGTTATATAACTATAGACTGTGCTCCTATGGTGTAAAGTATGAAATTAATAGTTTACACAGTCTGTCAGTTTCTAAATTGGGCTTGATACTATTCTTATTGCTAATTTTACAACTTTAGCTAGGATGTTGTATCTGTTGTAATCAGTTGTTCTCTCTTTGTAACAATACTGGGAAACTTAGGGATAATAACCTCAACACAGCCTTACAACAAAGACCAGGGCCAGCGCCAAACAGATACCAACATCCCACTCTTAATTGGGAATGCAGGATCTCCTAACAGACATAAAACAAGAATTTCCTACACAGAAAAGACATCCTGAAAGAACAGAATTTCCGTAGACAGACCTTGATACTAGTTATATAGCTACCTTCTACAAAAACCCATAAGGATCATCACAGAAAACAAAATAAAAATCTTTTTGAAATACAAAATGATGAGATGAAAAAGCAAAACATAATCTCAGGCCTCCAGCCCACCTAGAACAAGTCCAGGAGAGATAGACATGGAAGAAAATGGGAGATACACACCTGAAACTTCTGAAATGATAGAAACTTAAGAAACAAATCTGTGAGCCTATAGAGGAAATCAAATCAGAAACAATCTCTCAGGTAAAAAAAGAAACATCAGCATTCATAAAGGAACTGCTCAGCAAATCTCGAGTTGAAGTGGATAAATAATAGACGAAAGAGGATGGAAACAGTGAATGATCAATATAGGAAACAAATGGAATGCATGAAACAGATTCAAACAGATATTCAGGAAGTTAAAAATTCCATTGAAAGCTGGCAAAACCACTTGAACAAAACTGAAGACAGACTTTCAGACTGGATTGCAACTAGGGATTATGTAAGAAAGATCTCCTGAAAATAACAAAAGATCAGGACATAATTCAACAACTGCAAGACAACAGAGAAAAATAATGTAAGATTAACTGGTGTCAATGAAAAAGGAATCAACACAAATGACATAAAAAACTATTTGTACAAATAATGGCAGAAAAGTTGACAGGCCTCGGAAAAGAATCTGACATACATAATTGATGCATATAGAGCTCCAACTGGCCATAGCCAAAATAAATTTATGCCTGACATATAGTAATCAAGATAAATACTACACAAGAACAGAATATGAAAGGCTTTTAGAGAAAAGAAACCGATCACCTCTAAAGAAAAGCCCATCAGAATCATGACAAACTTTTCAGCACAAACCCGCAAAATCAAGCAGAGATTGGAGTGAAATACTTCATGTCCTCTTTGAAAACAATTTCCAATGATGTACCCTGAAAAACTGTCTTTCAAAATGAATGGAGAAGTAAGATACTTTCATGATACAGAACAACTGAAGAAATTCATTACCATCAAACCAACACTACAAAGAGTACGGAAGATATTCTAGACAGAAACAAAAATGACCACAACTGCAGGAACAACAGAAAGAAACCATCAAAAAGCTCAAGCAATTAATTAGAGGGGGAAAATAGGGAACCAAGAGCAGGAAAATAACATGACACAGACAAGCTGACACACATCAGTGTAAATGGCCTCAATTCACCACTCAAAAGAAACAAGATTCAAGAATGTGCTATATACAAGAAACATATTTAACTCAAAAAGAAGTTTACAGACTACAAATCAAAGGATGGAAAACAATACTCTATGTCAGTAAGAACCCAGAAACAGGCAGGGGTAGTGATTCTGTTTGCAGATAGTGTGAACTTCAAACCAAGAATCATCAAAAGAGATAAAGTCACTACGTACTCATTAGGTGAAAAATTCAAGAGGGAGAGATAATACTCTTAAATATATATGCACTAAATATGAGAGCACAAAACTATATTAGACAAACATTAATAGACATGAAAAATTAGATAAGCAATAACAATTGTAATAGGGAACCTTAATACTCCATTGTCACACAGAGATAGATCAACTAGACAAAAAAATCTGCAAAGAAATAACAGAACTGAATCAAAATTGTGAACAAATGGATTTAGTAGACAGTTATAGTGTTCCACTCAACATCAGAATACACATTCTTCTCAACTGGATATGGTACATTCTCTAAAATAGACTACATACTAACCCACATAAAATGCTTAAGTAAAATCAACAAAAATGAAATTATCCTATGCATATTATCTGACCAGAATGAATATTGAAAATTAATGGAAAAACAACTCCCAAAATTGGAAATCGATGTTAAAAGAACCCCCCCCAAACTGAATAAATACATGAAAATTAAATAACACCCTCCTGAACAACCAATGGTTCACAGATGAAATTAAGAAATAAATTTAACAATATCTACAATCAAATGAAAATTCAAATATAACTTACTGAAACCTGTGTACACAATGAAGTAATCTAAAGAGGGAAATTTACAGCAGTGAATTCTTGCATCAGGAAAACAGAACAAGCACAAATAACCTAATGCTGCACCTCAAGCTTAAAAAAAAAAAGAGCAAGTCAAGTCTAAAGCCCATAAAAGGGAAGAAATTATAAAGATCAGAACCGAAATTAATGCAACTGAGGCCAAGAAAACAATACAAAAAAATTAATGAATCAAAGTGTTGGTTCTCTGAAAGAATAAATTAAATTCATAAAACCCTAGTCAATCTTATGAAAAAAAGGAAACAAAAAACTCAAATTCATGCAATAAGGAATGAAACCAGTGAAATACATGGATTCTGTGAAAATTCAAAAGATCACAAAACCGACTTCCAAAATCTTTACTTGGCATAGGATAGAAGAATCAAAAGAAATGGGCAGATTCCTACAAATGGATGAATTACCAAAGCTGAATTGAGAAGGTATAAAAATTTTTGAATAACTCAATATAAGTTAATGAAACTGAAAATAAAATTATAAAAACTTACCAATGAAGAAAAGCCCAGGTCTGATGAATTTATGGCTGAATACAAGAGTGAAGATTTAACACCAACACACCTCAAACTCCTAATGTAACTGAAAGGAAAGCAATTCTCCCCAACTTACTCCTGGAGGCAGACATTACTTTGATACTAAAACCGAAGAAAGACCAAATAAAAAAAGTACTACAGGTCAGTCTCCTTAATGAACATAGACAAAACTCTTCAATAAAATGCTAGCAAACAGAAAGCAGCAAATCCTCAAGAAAGTTATACACCATGGTCAAGTGGATTCATTCCAGAAATGCAAGGAAGATTCAACATAAGCAAATCAATAAATCTAATACACGGTATCAACAGAGCCAAAGACAAGAATCATGTGATCATCTCAATAGATACAGAAAAAGCTTTTGATGAAGTCCAACACTTATTCCTGATGAAAACTGTACAGAAAGGCTGGGGATTTAGCTCACTGGCATAAGTGCCTACTTGGCAAACGTGAGATTGTGAGTTCAATCCCCAGCATCAAAAGAAAACAAAACACACCTGTAAAGAAAATCAGAATAGATGGTCCTTATTTCTATTTGATAAAATCCATCTATAACAAACCAACAGGCAACATCAAACTAAATGGACAAAATTGAGCTTGTGATCTAAAATCAGGAACAACACAAGGATGTCAACTATCACCACTCCTATTCAATATAATTCTGGAAACTTTAGCCAGAGCAATTAGACAAGAGAGAGAAATAAAAGGAATAAGGATAAGAAAGGAAGAAGTTAAACTAACACTCTTTACAGACAAAATGATATTCTACATAGAAGACCCCAAAAACTCCACTAAAAGACTTCTGCAATTAATAACCAAATTCAGTAGCATGGCTGGATAAAAAGTCAACACTCAAAAATCAACAGTATTCCTGCATACAAACAACACTGTGAAAATGGACATACTCTCAAAACTGTTATACAATTTTAATGCAATCCTGAACAAAATACCACTAGCTAGCCCAGCCTCTACATGCAGCACCCAGGTCATCATCAAGGTGCCTCTTGCGCGTAACCAGCTCTCCTGCCGGTAACCAGCACAGGAGGGAGAAGACATCCAGCCCCTGTATGCACTCATGGTGTCATGTGGACTCTCCTGCAGGTAACCAGAAGGCTAGGAGAACCAGCCACTCATCCCTTGGAAAAGTTGTGTCTGAAGAAGCCTTGTCTTGCACACCACTGCCTCCTGGGGAACCTGGGTTAGGAGAAACCCAAGTACTTGACCAACCCCCTAGACTGTCGATAAATAGCCAATATGGGAAGTGCTTCAGACCCTACAATCTGCTTGTTTAGAAGAATCTAGAAAAATGT